AATGTTTACATAATAAAAATATAAAATATGAGACAAAGTCCACCAAAGTAACCCAAGTAGGATGAATTTCTATTCAGTTTTGTTCATTTTGTCTTGTAAAGATTTATACAGATCATCGCTCAATTTCAAGCACTTATATTATATAAGATCTATAAAATACGAACGGTAAAATTTACAGTATTTATTATATTTGAAAATACTTAAAATAATTGTTATTGATCAATAATCAATTTTGATCGATTATTGATTATATTTATTTCTCGAACTTTTGGTTGAGGTACGATTTAATCCAGCAATTTGCCTGAAGATACAATGTACATTATGTGTTAACATTCCAAGTATATATTGAAATTGTTTATATTTATCCTTCGTCCTAATAATAATAAATTTAGACGGTAAATTATATAACTGAAATATTTTTATCTACTACAGTTCATATTTATTCAATCGATTACCGAATATGTGGCTCCCACGTCGTCCGTCCGCACGAGTTAAAATCAAACAAGCAATTTCGGTCGTACAACGCATCGAATAATCTTGGGTAGAGGTATGTGTACATCTTGGCGTGTGTTAAAGGGTAAGACGTCTCGGGTACTTTACATTCGCCGCTAGACAGACAGATAAGTTAGGAGAGCGCCGGCACTGCATACAAAACACCAGACGAGCCTTGCTACAGAAATTGAAAAATTTACCGTAGCATACCTGACTCGAGCTACGTTTGTCTACGTTTTGGACGAACCGGCGGCTTGTCTGAACTTGATAAATGCGATAATGATCTACTTTACAAATCCATTTGTAATAGGATAAATTTTAAAACTTGAACAAATGATAATACATAATTAAATACGTTATAAATTTACTCGAAAATTTATTAAGAATGTTAAAAAACAGTTTGAATTTAGCACATGTAGATCATCTTATTTGCTTATATTTTAAATCTTATCTCAATACTATTCACATCAGTTATTACTCATTTCATCAGTCACCTTACTACCATCATCTCTCCACCGTATCGATATCGCTTGATAATACCATAACCAAATACTAATTCCACACAAGACCGCCTATGCCAATATAACAGCGACTGTCATAGGTGGTCACAAACACATTCCTATGGTACAAAAACGGAATATACGTAAACACGATTGCATTACGTGCATGTGCAAGCAGACTAACACAAACTCTATCGTACATAGACGAGAATGCAGCAAAACCCGCAGGGCAGCAATCAATCAAACTAATGAAGTTTGCGAATTGAATTTGACAATCACCATATGCGAACGTCGCCAGGGATGCAGGGACGAAATACTAATAAATTGGCTACGGATGGGATAGATCAATGAGGTGGTAGATTAATTCACAACTAATAGATAATAATAATAAATTGACAGTAAAGTTTTGAAACTAAGTTATGGTAATTGAAACAATCATCAATACTAACTAATATGCATACAGTGTTGCTGTGTATTTTTTTAATTATGTTTAAGCTTGATGAGTTCATCTTTTTACAAGAAAATCGTGCTAATTTTATATTTTCTCGACGTTTCAAGTATTCTGAATAGTTCAACAACAAGATTGAAAAAAATATACCTGTGTATTTATATGAGCTTAAATTTGACTTAGCTATTGCAAAAAAAGTTTGAATTTAATTTTGAAGAAATATCAATAAATCATATTGTACAAAATGCTCCGAATTAGTACATTATAATGGGACTAGTGGTTGGACATATAACAGCCTTTCTAAATAAATCTCAACATTTAATTTATCAACCTTAATTTTTTGTTATTCCTAATTACACTGTGTCAACCAATTTGATATTTAATGCGACCCTGTCACGAACCATTTATTGGACATGCATGTGTAAGCATTTTGTTTGTTCTCGTAAGCACACTCTCATATCCTATGCCCTTTGTAGGACACAATGCGCGAATAATCCAGAAGGGAATTCCCTCTCTGTTCGCGAGACATGTTGATACTGGGCAACATAATAATAGTTGGGTGTTATCTACACCAGGCGTCGGCGATGAGAGCTTTTGGTCATCTTATCATGATAAAATGAATTTGGTTAACAAAAATTGGCATTGTGATGAAGAATAGAAGCCTTTTCAAAAATGCATAAAAGATCATATGGATTTACTAGGCGTTTATCTAATCTTTTACCTTAGATTATAGCCACTACTAACACTAACCATTCATTTTGAATTTTTTATCTCAAACGAACTTATTTGGCGAGAATCATATTTAATTATTAAATGTATTTAACCATGAATACTACACAAATTCTGAAAATTAGTAGCTGTATAACTCAATTCCCATCCAAAGTTCCATATTTCAATTGGCTCAATTCTTTCAATAGACCCATTTCCCTCCGACCGAATGCAAATCAACCCGCCCCGGAGAATTTTCACTTGATGATCTAACACACTTCATTTGTAATCGAATAAAAACCGGATCGCGAGACTCTTTGTCGGATTCTTTTAGCGTAGTAGCTAAAACGTTTTATGAAAAGCGGAAAACTTCATTTTATTACGCCGATACCGCGCAATGCTACCTTTTCTAGCCGGTTGGAAAAGTGCTCTATAGACGTGACTTCATTATGTTTTATAGCAGCAAAAGCGGTAGTGTCACTTAAATTTCATAAAAATATAAATTTAACCTCATACGAGAAGTTAGATACTCGGAAACTAATTATTGGGATACGGGGTTGGGGTTTTAAAATTTTATAAAAATTACGATGCAATGTTATTTAAAAATTATTTGGTTTATATTAACAAGAAACTTGTTAGCAAGAAATAGAAAGCTTGTGCAAATTTATAAATAAGTAAACACTCATTTTTGCAAACATAATTAATTGACTTTACTTTATTAATTGTATGCGAAAAAGTTATATCTGTTGAACTATATTGATTAGATTAATTCCATGTGAAAATCTCATATTATCCGGAGGGTGGTAAGTAAAATATTTTTGTGAAGACACGTGAAGTCATACCATGAAAATTTCATAGTATTATTCTTATATTTATTTGTAAATATTCTCTACTATAAATGTAATGTATTTGCTTGGATACAGTCATGGTTCATGATAATGATCATCGAATTACATAATCGTAGAGATATTTGAACAGCAATGGTGCAGTGTTAACTTAAATCAAGTCGCCGAAGCGCAACATTATTACTGGCAATTAAACTTTAATATTCTCTAAACCCAAATTAAATTCATTAAACATTCCGTACTCGACTCGGGCACTTAACAGAGAAGACATCAAAATCTCGAAACGCGGTGAACGATTTTCCGGTACGAAATACGCCATAAAATTGAAGCACACTTTTAGTGATGGATGTAAAAAAGAGATGTTTTAATTTTTTTTGCTGTGCCTTAAAAAAAACTTATAAATCGAAATTTCATTGCAGTGGCGGAGGCATGGTCGGGATAAATTAGACAAATCAAGAAAATTTGAGAAACCTTGCTAATTATTTTACATATGAGAATATGAGAAGGAACCATAATCTATAAACAAACATATTCCCAGTAATAAAATGCTTAGGAAAAATATTAAAAACTTTGACTACCAAACAATTGTTAAATGTTTAGTATGACGAGATAGGTTTCTTATCAATGATACAAATTAGCTTATTTTTTAAACCAATTCTACCAAAAATACGTTTCCGATTATCAGTTTACCTGTAAAAATACGTTCGTACGTGGGTCGAACGAAAGAAAGAAAAAATGCTCACATAACAAAACATACAATAAAAGATAGTGATTGGATTTCTATTGCTTCTTTCTTCGTTAAATTGCCATTCAGTTCGTGCGCTGCACTAAACTAACTGCGGACTTGGCCAGTTTTGCTGCATAACCTACAAACTTGCGAAGTAGCTTCAAAAACAAGTAATAGGGAAGAACCAGCAACGAGAAGATCGTTCATGGGAATATAATTAATTTAACGTGTAAAACAATTAGTTAAAAACTATAAATGTACCATTTTGGATAGACTGGCAGCTAACCCTTTAGTTGCAGCAAAAATTAGATTATAGCAAATTCTTAAATCGAGTAATCTATTCCCTCGTTCTTCAAATTCCGCACTACATTCCGATCTGACCCGATTTTGGCGTTCGTATTTCCTTTATAACTAATATAAACGAGCACGCCTCACAGGGTGCCGTACCCCTGGCGTAATATAAATATTAAATAACGCTGCGACGTAAGAAATTTATATAACACCAAAACAAGAAACGGCAAAACGTACAACTCGTAATATCACCCACAGGAAACGGCTTGCCCGCGTTATAGAGCATTAAATCATAGCGCTAAACATACATTATGTATACGCGATTACGTATGCTCAGTGGGTATGAGCAATCTGAATTATTTAAAGGGAATAAATCTATCAATTTCGTATTTTGTAAATGATACATCAGTAGAAATAAAAAATCAACCACGTGGTAAAATAATATAGGATTGTCTCACAATAAATTTATCAACTTAAATTTAATATTAAATGTAAAATATCACTGATCTTTTCATCAACATTTCAAAATACTAATACTTTTTTGGCGCTGCATAACTTGTTTAGAAATAAAAATATTTTGGTAGCAGCGGTATTATACTTCCGCTGCCACCAAATATTTTGTTCGCAAATTTTTGTTTGCTTGAGAGAACGGCGTTTTGAGGAAAATTGCCATCAGCAAAAAGAACAAGTTAGTGGTAAACATTAGTTAATCGCTTTTACCAAAAGTAAACGTTATCAGTAAGCAGACTATATAATCGTAAAAAATCAGGAATCAATAATTTTATCAATTATCTAATCGAGAATTCAACCAAGTATCAAATTAAGAATCTCTTTATACAAGAATCCTAATCAAAACCAAGAACCAGGAAAAATTCAAGTGTTTCAGTATTCGACATTAGTTTAGTATATATTGAACAATATTTTTTAAAAAAATTGATCAATTATATTGAACAATCCGTTATAACTAGTATAAATTAAAATCGACTTACGTTCCCAGGGGCATCCATATATCTCCACTCGCATGCAGACAGTACGTGGATGTTCACTGTAAGGTATAAAACGAACTCTGCTCGCCACAAAAGGTAATTCTAATTCTTGACGAACTACCAAATATGTGTTACTGTTCCCCGTTAACACCTGAAAAATATAAAACATATTACATAAAGTTCTGGTAAGAAAATCTGAAAAAAGTATCGATTATTCACATTGAGGACAAAAAAATTGACACTGTTGTTTTCATTTGATAGACAATGTTTTTTAGATTGTAGGTCTCGTTGGTTTCTCGATGGCTTTTGAGTATTATATCAATTTTAATGAATTATTTTTAGCGCATAAGTTTCTACACAATATGCTTTATAATTTATATTAACTGATTAAACCTCTTTGTAATAATTCATAATAATAACTCCTAACTTTCCCTCTATATTCTACAATATTTCTTTTCGGTGCATTATCATTACAATACAATTAGGGAGAAACGCGCAAGTTTTATTATAGCTCGAAATCCGATTCGTTTAAAGTTTTAGCACGAGACAATGCGATGAAAATTATAATAAGTTTTCGAAAATGGACGCGATAAAATCAGAACAATTACTACGAGACCAAGTTGTACGAACTATGCCGTAGTCATATCTAAAATAACGGCTGAGTAAACTCTCAAGGAGTAATGGAAGGAACAGCGCCGCCGCCCGGAGATCAAAGGTCCACGTCCGCGGTGGAAACGCGCGAGATTCAAACACAATGAATTGTTAGATAGCTGAAATTAGTACGAGCCGTGTTTTCAATAGAAGTTTAAATATGTGCGCAGTCAATGCAGCAGCCAAGCCATATCAATAGAGAAATTAATGCGAACCAGATTTGATCTCCAACATATTCGTATTATTATTATAAAGTGCTCTTGTACAAATAGAAAGCGGTGATGTGTCGTACTGATAAGACTGATGGCTGTTTTGAATCTGTTCCGAGATTCAATACTTTGCTATTGTGGAGAGAAATATGATGAATGGCGGAGCTAATGTATTTCGAAATGGAATTTAGAAATTTTCGAATGCGAAAGTTATTCTTAACAAAATAGAAGTGGCATTTGGTATAACAGCATCTAAACAATGCTAAATATATTTGAAAACATTAGAACCAAGCTCTTATTGCAGCTAGATTGATTTTTCCTAAACATTTGAATAGCTTCCAGAAAATAAACAATTACATTTTTTTTCATGATGTCAATCATTTTCTGATGAAATCAAAAATTTCCATTCCCTACAAAGCAAAAACGTATCATTGCAAGTCTTTGTACTTGCACATAGTCCTGTTTCCGTATCATGGGCACAGGACTCATCAAATCTAGGCGAACGCTGATCATATCAGCGAGCGAACCGTCAGTCCCAGATCAACTGCGGTCAGAACGTTTGATATGGGCACTGAAGTTCCCACACCACAGATATTTGCAGATAACCTATTATATGGGTCGAGCAATAAGCCAATGTTTGGCAAACTTGCCACGAATAGGCTCTTGTATCAGGAATCAGAAATCAGTTATTAATTTTTTGCCCTTAGTGGTAATATTAGAATATCGTAAAAGTGAATTTTGTTATACTTTGGTGACTAAAAACATGAAATTTACTTTGGCTATATTCTAGATTTGTGAACGAAAAATAATATCTGATTTCTCATGCGATAGTCCACTATTGCAACTTGTTTCCACTATTACAGCGCATGATCCTGTACCTGTGTGCCCCCAGTGCCCCTTTCACTTGTATTTTGAAATGAAAAGATTTATACTTGCTTAAATGATACGTGTTAAATAGAGTGTCCGGAGCTTGGTGCCGACCGGAGCTACGGGACTTTTCCCTATATATGTAATTAGTATTATATACAAACATTATAGCTATTTATCGTTGTGTTACATATTGATCGAAAAAAAATCAATAAATTTATATCAATATTTTTTTCTCAAATAAAATGCACAATTATATTTGTTGTTTATATAAATATATTTTTTATCATTTATCTATTTTTCTGGAATCGCGTATATTCGGTAAAACAAGTTCTAATGTATTTTAAAAATCGTAGAGCAAACAATAAATATTTTTCTGGAATTTAATTAGTCCCAAGAAAAAATAACAACGTATATGAGATGCTCTGTTATTTTTGTTACGTCTGGAGACTAAGAAATTTAGTCTAGCGAAAAAATAACATGCAGACGGTCTGCTGGAAGTAATAAAATTAGAGTTGGATTTGTTAACATTATGACAATAAGAAATATTTGGAAAAAGTATAACGATATGAATTTTAATTAATTTTGTATAAAAATATCTTTTCATTATTTATTTTGTCTTGGTGAAATTTTCCTGAATCCATTTTTGTATGTCACACTCAATATTGTTTTTTATTGATATATCTATTTTTATCTCTGAATTTTGATGTACCTATAGATACTCTTGAATAAAAATATTTATAATTTTTAAATTTTTATTTTTTGAATTTATTAAAAAATCTGATTTGCACTAAACTAGGAAAGTTTTCCAAGCTGTGAATCTTGACATTATCTTCAACTTGGCTATATATGATAGTGGGTTTATATACCATTTGCTTAGGTCACTGGGCTAATCTGTGTGTGGTGATCGTGGGTTTAAAATATTCCGAATGATTGATGCCTTACAACTTACTGACAGATACAGAATATAATCTGATGAGGGATGCCGCAAAACGTGCAACCGAATACAGAATATCTGATTTTGGTTTTAAACCACTTATATGTATTGTTATCAGATTGGAGGAAAATGTATAATATGAATATACATTGATCAAATGAAAATTTATAATTTAAAGCATAAAAAATACTATAAAAATATAATTACTATAATAATTCTTACAAAATAAAGGCATGCTGTAAGAGCGTGAAAATTCAGGGTTATAAGGATTTGTATATACGTATTATAACAAAATAAAATAATTATTTATAATATTTAAAAATTTGTCGGAGTGATTAATCTCTACCACTTGGTTTCAATCAAAATATGCGAAAATCTGTCCGCGGATAACTAACTAACTAACCTAACCTAATCTATCAGTTTTCCAAATTTTCGCAGCGATTGGATGATTAGTTTTTGAATCCATAAATGTATACATATAAATACTAATTAAATAATTTATTTGTTCAAATAATAAAAATATAACTCAATATAAGAAACAAGATATTAAAACAAAATTATTAATGTTAGAATAAATTCAAATTATAAAATCTATGGTCGAATTTCTAGAGAATTTAGATCAAAACGGTCATACAGTGATTTTTAAGAGTATATATCCGCTACTGTAAAATAATATAATATAATTATTTTATATTTATATTTACCCAAGTTTCAGAAAAGCCAAACAGCGCATTCGAATATTATTTTCCCGCAAGGGAAAAAAATTAAAACAAAGTATAAGGACTTTGGGTGGATATCGTGGTTTTCCCTGCGTGAAACTCGGAATCAGAAAGGACACGCCGAACAGAACATGGAACATGCAATTATAATTTCAATTTGTGTTCAAGCTTCTCTGTATAGAAGATTTCCCAGAGAGAGAAAAACGAATAAGAAAATCTGCCATGACAAAGCGACTGAAGGCGGAGAATTGCAGTGATTTAGGAATTTTAGGAATTGTTTTTGTCCAGAAATGATAATAGAAAACTTATCAAAAGTCGATGAAGTAATTATTTAACACTTTATTTTTGTGTGTACGATACAAGCAACATATTAAAATAAATATAAACATTAAATTAGTTTGTTTGGGTATATAATTACATTTAACACTGATACAATGTGAACTCATTCCGCTCGATTAGATATGGGTCTTCTGCCTGTCATATAGATGTCAATGAATCTTGTTTACTTACGGCAAATAATACAAGTAAACAAAACAGCTATTCAAATTTACGAACCGAAAAGCGATTTGCATTAAACCGTTTGATACAATTACTCAAGACATCTAACCTCGCCTCTACCCAGCTTTCCATGTATATTTCGGGTTTGCGATAATCCGAATAAATATGATATTGCAGCGCGAGAAAAGCGAAAGATTCATTCAAATTAAATGCATAATGAATAATACATATTTTCCGGGAGATGCCTCCGGCTTTTCCGAGTATACTCGTGTAATGTGTTTGCTCATTTGAAAGTAATTCCGCCGTCTCGTACGAATTTCGTTTAATGCGAATCCGTATGGACTGCAAACTTGTACAATTTTGAAAATGTATATTGAGTGCACGCGTGTTAATGGAAATAGAAAGAAATGGAATTTTGAATATTTCGGTTTCTGCGAAACGGCGTTCCGAACATTTTTTGCGCGTCTTAGGTTTTATGGGTTTTTGTAATGTTTCAGTTCGCATGAGTACACATTTGCTTTTAGCTAGACATTATATGGTCTTAAAAGATATAAACGGAATTTTATGAGTTTTTCCTATATAAATATATTTTGAAGTAAAACTTCTTTAGGCGAACTTGCGTTACGCCCGAACGGTTCGTCATTGCTCTCGATGAAATCATTTCTATACGGGTCGAATGTGATTAGTCGTCGTGTCGAGTGAATAGAGATCTTTCGTTGTATGCATACAACAACGAGAAGATCGTAATGTCATTAGATTTTAAGGTTACATCGTAGTACAAATCTTGATTTAATAAAAAATATGCTTGAATCAGAAGAATAATTTACCATGTAAATAACAGTAATGAAAATAATAAAACATATGAAACATTTGTTCCGTGTAAGAAACGTAAGTTTATTGAAATAATTTCTATGTTATTCTTATAATAGTTATTCTTATATAATAGTAGTTTCTATAAATCTTTGAAATTATTAAAATGGAAAATTTATTCATAGGCAAGACAGATATTACAGCTGCTTAAAGAATGAGATTGTTTAGCCAGCGAAAAAGTAAAAAAAATACAAGCAGTCAATGAATATATGTTAATTTTAATTACATGAAGTTCTTCAAACACAATTACATGAGTGAAATCCACTGTGTGAACGAATATTATAGAATTTATCAATCATCAATTACTTCATTTCTCTAATAAAGGTTCAAGTTCTAAATGTTAATTACAATGACAAACCGATCATGTCATATTTGAAGTATGACTTTAATTACATTATTGTTTTTAAATATTATAAATATTTTCAATGCTATCAAATACATAATTTATAATTTATTATTATGAAATTATGTATACCAAATTTTGTTCTGGTGATTTTTCACTCAAAGATGAAAAACGCTTTGGTTGTCCAGTTAAATTGTCTATATTTATTATTACGATGTCTACCTTAAACAATTAACAAAATTAAACAATGCAGTTGAAAAAATGGCCAGAATTAGCAAATCAAACGGTGATTTATACCATTATAGACCTCACATATCTTTGGCAACCCGGAAAATATTATTGAAGCTTGATTGGAATGTCTTACTCACCACATAGTCCGGACCTTCATTTTGGAAAATAAATGGCAATTAATAGTATCATAGGCAGATTAATTTATTAATTCTAATTCAAAATTTTGGGCTAACAGTAGTGTTCTGGTTGTCCTCAGTTGCATAGAACGAGATTTTTGTCGTTCAAATAAAAAAAAGATTATGAATCTTTTGTAGTTGTAAATGAATCGTCAACACTTCATTACGTTCATATCTTAGGCTTGAACTGGTTTATGTTAATAAAATTCATTCCATTAAAACTACAAATACGTTTTAGCTCGCAAAGGTTGAATAAAGCAAAATACTGTGCGTTATTCAGCAAAAACACATATTTGTCGAGTACACACACACGCTCTATAAAATCCGAACGCATTAAAAATTAAACATTGCTGCAAATCAAAAGCGAGAGCCGCTCCGTACAATTATGCAAAACGAGCACAAATTATTATATGCAAATGTTAATGAGCTGCCAGAACTGTGTGCCGAGCTTGCAAATTCTATACTACATTGTACACATATCAGGTTTTAATTTAATATCAATTTAAACATGAAAACAGCTTTTTAATATACTCGGTAATTAGTGAATAATTAAATGCAGAATTGGCATTTGATCATACACCCTGGATCATATAGATTAAATGTGAAATCATACAGAAACGTGATTGTGTTGGGTACATCGAATTGGGAGACTAATACCGATTTGTGAATTATAGGTTTGCTGCTAGAATTAGTTTTCATATTTAATTAATGAATCTAGGATTATAATAATAATAATGCAATATAATAATTTGGCATATTCGATCAACCGTTATGGAGTTGTGAATAACAATTTAATTTGTCCAAAATATTCAAATTGGATTAATTATCATAATATATATGTATTTAATCATAATGATGATCTGGGGAAATATTTATATAAAATTTTCAATGTTAAAATTTATGTTAAGTATTCATACAAATCTCTATCAATATTATAGCATTGTGGTGTTAACAACAAACTGGTGCATGATTTAATAATATTATTTAAAAATGAATAGTATGTTATATTTGTGATGCTTATAAAATCTTATGTCATTTGAAAGAAAATAGCTCAGTCAGTATCGTGCCCGAATCACACGCCACCGATCCTCAAATGGCAATGACAAAGAATTGAGTTAAAATTAAATATAATTGTAGTTTTCGATTTGAAATTGCTTAGATAAAGGAGAATTAGATAAGTAGAATTTAATAATAGTTAATTTGAAATGAAATAGAGTTTAAATTGTTGAGATAAATTTAAATAAAATTAGAATTAAAAAGAAAAGAAAGAGCGGATTTAGAGAGAATCGGATCTAGAAGAAAAGATGCAAATCAGTTGCAAAGAGCAAATTATTGGATAGAAAAAGATATAAATAAAAAGCTAGTATAGAACATATATAAAATAGTAGAACATATATAACAAATTTTAACATTTATAAAAATGTATAAAATATAAAAATGAAATGATGTATGTGACTAAATGATCTAAGTAATCGAAGCCAATATTCGAAAATAAACATGTTTTTTAAAAAATTTCAAAGTGAACATATTGATGAATTGCTTTAATAAAAGCATTATATGCAGCATCAAAAAAACTGTAATAAATATTGAGATTTTTCTAAATCATTATCTGTGATGATTTCATGCCTGTTCATTTAAATTATATAAAATGCAACTATTCCCCCATGCTCAAAATATGTAGAATAATTAATTTGAAAATATTATTTTGATATGCTATAATGAACGAATATTTCTGAATTTAATTTATAGATATTTAACCGCAAATAAATATATCATGAAATGACTGCTTAATACCGGTCCATAGCAATGCAATTCGTTTGCATTATAAATATGTGGACTAATTAAAATATGCACATATCGGGAATAACATTAACTGTATAATGCAATGTTTCAATTAAATATCTATTATAAATGAAACAACCAATTCCCATAAGAGGTTCTGTTAAAATAATTAGAGCCGCAAAACCGATTACATGATATTTGTAATGAAAAGGTTATCTACGTTAATGGAATCATTGGTGTTGTCAATTAAATATTGAGAGGAAATAATTGAAACGGGAAAACCATAAATCAACTGAAAATTTTTAGTTTATGTAAAGCTACATTCACTTTTTTAAAAAAATTATACGATGTATGGATTTAGTAAAACCAACCAATCTACATAAACGTATTTTTTTAATAAGTAAAGCAAAATATTCAGCAACAGTCTAAGTCTGTGAAAATTTGAAAGTAGTTACTTACTTTATCGCCCCTGGCGTCTTTATATATCACCCATCTATCGAGGGCCGCTCTCCAATATTCGACAAGAAATGCTTCAGCATATTCTTGGCCTTGGCCATTTCCAAATCGGCCCTGGGTTTCTGTCCACGTTATGAGATGGTCCCTTACCAGGTCCACCTCTAGGTATTCATGGACTTCGCCACTGATCTGTGCTTTGGGACACCATGCTCCACCGTTCTTTTCTTGGCGAATTCTAGAAAAAAATGAAATATTGTAATATATTATTTAGTAATGTAAATTAAATAATGAATGTGCTTCAGCTATAAAATGTGTATCACCAAAAATAGTTTTTACGTATAGGTATATTCTGAACTTTTTCATAGGGATACCTACTACTTCTTGCAACTTTCTTCGAGAGCATCATAGAAGCGGTTATTTTCTAAAATTTATCAATGAGTAATATTGATATCATATACTAATAATTAAAATACAATAAAAACCTATTAGACTGTAAATCATGATTGATATACTTAAACATGTACGTTCTCGTTTTTCTGAAACGCCTTTCCGATCTAATTAAGTATTTCAATAAAAATTGACGATAAACTTCAATATTTCAATATATTATAACTTTTATTATAAAAATTGCAAAATCAGCTCCTTCAGAATTCCATTACAAAATATCTCAAGAAACATACTTTAAATTAAATTCTATAAAGTTCTTTTATAAAAGTTAGTATTGAATAAAATTGTATCATTCAAGTTTATTATTTGTGCTCGTTTATCGCGCATTGTGAAAATTTATAACAGCATCAACTAGATAAGACATAACTTAAACTTTAATGTTATTAGCGATCAACAAATAAAGTTTGAAAGGAACAAAACCAAGAGTAAAAATCAATTGTGAAACACCAGGGAAAACTGGAACAGTTTTATTATTGTGCGACCGCAGTTAGTTTGCGCGATTTTGAATCTTTTGTGAGCATCTGTGTGTAGCATAAAGTTGTACTAACTGATACTCGAAGTTGCTTCAGTGATGTTATTGAAACGCAAGTTTCTTAGCAAAAGGAGATTATGAATATGAATTATAATAATAGAAATGTTACAACAATATGTCTGATAAGTTTCCTGTTTGTGTTGTTATTTCACTATATACCGGGAACAGAAATTCGTAATTAGAGAGAGATTCTTCGGTGCGTGATTATGGAAATTTTATCAAACTACGGTGTATGCAAAATATAATTAAATACGCCCCGCAGTGGTTTAAGTAGTTTTAACGAGGCATTGTCTAAGCGGTTCAGAAATCGCTTTACCTGCATTTTATTGGAAGCGCTCCTGACGTGCATCTAGCCCGTAATACGCTTTATGAAGAAACATTAAAGAAAATGTATATCTTATGTATATAAATACGAAGATAAAGTTTATATACTAATATAAAGTTATCTTTAAGATAAATATAAATCGTTATACATTTATAACATCATCAACTTCAATTGAAGGCGACAAGG